ATAATCTCTCCCCTTTCTTTGTCAAACTAAATTTTTTGTAAATTTTATCTCTTTAAGGAATCAGTTTTTATTTTCACTGATTTTTTTGTATTGTTTTTCTAGTCTTTATTTCACTGCTGTTGGTTTAAAACTTTATCATTTCCTTCATTCTAGTTTTGGGTTTAGTTTGCTCTTCTTATTTTAGTTCCTTAAGGTAATAGTGTTATACATCAATTTGAAATTTTTTCAAATTGTAGGCATTTACAGCTACACATTCAGAAAAAAATAGGGACTGCTTAATAGTTTAATGGATTAATGGATTAATGAAGATTTAGTGGTTTGATAGAAACCCACCAGTAAGACAGAATTACATAAACTCTTACCTGGGTGCTTGTCTGCCTTTTCATTATGTGACAGAGTGGCACCTACACTGTAAAGTTAAATACATGAACTCCACTAAAGCTTTTGTTTGAGCAATGACAATTATTCAAGAGTTTGGATAATTTTTAATGCAGAAGGATTAATTATTTGGTGACAATTGTGCAACATTCTCAAAGCTGTCACATGTAGCTATTCCGCAGTATGAGAAATTGCTACTGGCATTTGCAAGCATGGCAGAAATTTAATAAACTGTCGCCAAACCATTTGTTTGTTTGAATGCCAAGGTTTCCTTCCCTACATCACATGCACCGTCCTGTTGCCAACATTTATCAAAATACTCCCACAGTTGTCAGAGAAAGAATTGTGCAGAGATTTACTACTTCTTTATTCTTCTTGCCCTTATATTTCGTTGCTTTGTCACTTCCTGGAGATTTATTTGAGTAACATGAAAAATGTCTGTATGGAGCAGTAAAATGTTAAGTCATGGACTGAGAACTAATATTAAAGTAACAGCTATAGAAACAGATATAGAGTTTAGTGCGATCATGAAGATGACTTTCATGCCTTACTTTCTCTGTGTTCCTAATGTCTGAATTTTTATAGGGAGACTGTGCAATGTAAAGCAACAATAAAAATGTAAAGTCAAATGAGAGAGAGGAAGAATCAGGAAAAAAGGCTTAAGAAGTCCAGCCAGATCAACTCATTTCTGATCAGTTGTGCAATTATGCGAGACAAAGGGTAACAATAGGATTTAAGGTAAAATCTATCTTTTTGGACCAAGGATTGACAAGTGGTTGAAATTCCCGGCTCTGAGTTTGCATTTTATGCTTTGACCCCACCAAGTAAGTGGCTGCTTAGATTTTAAAAACTTTGCATATGAAACAGGAGAAAAGGAAGATTGGAAAGTCTGGCCCAGGGCTTCAGTCACAATTTCAAAGATGAATGAAAGTGTAGCCTTTCCCCATTAGGGTTAGATACACAACTATCATGTGAAATAAATACTTTGGCAATCCTATCACAACTTTAAGTGCATATACTCTATTTTTCATTATGAACATATGGTTTATTCTTTTTTCTTTTTATTATTTTCTCTTCCCTTCCCCTTATATCTCTTTCTACTCCCTGCAAAAGTTCTATTTCCAATGTTGAATGTGCATTTATTTCACTGCTAGGAGCTTCTTTTGAGGAAATATACCAGTGTACAAATATTAGATTGACTGATGCTCACTGTAGCAAAATATTTCTAATGTCCTATATGTAGGGGAAAGAGGGTGGGGGTGGAGAGAGGAAGAGAGGGATGAAGGGAGAGAAAGAGAGATAAGAGAGAAGGAAGAAGAAGAAAAAGAAAAAGAAGAAGAAGAAGGACAAGAAGTTGGAGGAGGAGGGGCGGAGGAAAAAGAAGGAAAAAAGGGAGGAGGAAGGAGGAGGGGAGGAGGAAGTGGAGGAGGGGCAGGAGGAAGATGGAGAACCACCTATACGTTTTTCCTAGAGTATGTAAAGATTTAATGGTGTGTGGGCAAATGTCATAGCCAAGGTGGGTCAGCAATGCAAAATAAGAAAACATGAGGGAAAAAGTTATATATAACTAAGAAAAGGGGATTCTGGAGGAAAGTATTTCATTTTGCAAAAATAACATTACCTTCCCAAGTCTCATTCTATTCCCAGGAGCCATGAGGCCCATACTAAAGACTCCACATGAACTTTTCATTGGTCTGATAGGCTTTTTCACTCTGAATAGGATGGGAGGGGTGGGGAAGAGTTTATTTCTGGAGAACATAGTTGTCTTTTTTCATCAAAGAAAATCTGCACTGACATGTATTTGAGGGATTAGTACATCTTTGAAATCCTAAGCAAATGGGAGGAGAAATGTTGCTGCATTCCCAAACTTTGAGATGAAGGATTGAGTGTGGCTGCTGCGGAGTGGGATGATTCAGAGCATTTTAATGATCACGTGCCAATTTCAAGAGTCTTGACATTTTCTGAATGCCCTGGTGTCTCCAAGTATCTCAGATGCTACAAGAGTACTCTAGATGACCTGGAGCCAAATGCTAATCCTTCTATGATTCATCTTCTCTATCTGTGAAATGAGGAAGGAGTATGGAATGAATGATCTGTGCCATCAATTTGGGATTTAATTTATAGTCATCAACACATGGACTCATCATCACTTCAAATAAACATTTTTGGCATTTATTAATGATGGTTAAAAACACTATTTTCTAAACATGGATTTCAACTGAACATAAAAATTGTATTTTTTTATTTTAAAGAGAAAAACAATAACAAAATAACAACAAAGACAGAAACAAAACAACATAAAAATGATACAGGATTTCAAAACACGATGATAGGAATTAACAAGGGTTGTTATATTACATATTGTTATCTTCCACAAAGTTGCTCATATTATGAGATGTAAGAATGCAAGGTTGATTAAACAATTAAAGAGAACAGAAAGTAATAAAAAATTAGAAATGATACAGAGTTTCACTAAACAAGACAGTAGGAATTCAACAATGGTTGTTATATTGCATATTGTTGTCTTCAAATTAGTTTTTCAGATTACCAGATGTGTAAGAACCTGAAAAGTTGTACTTTTTAATGGATATCAAAGTATAACAGCCACCATACCAGCTGAGGGGATGTCATTTATAACACAACCAGGAGGCACAAATGTGTCAGATTGCCCCATTTTGGGTGATGATAAATTCATCCACTTTGTTAAGGTGGTAGCCACCTTGTTTTCAATTGCTGTGACAAAACCCCTGCATAACCAACCTTTAAGGAGGAAAACTTTATTATGGTTCATGGTTTTAGAGGTTTCAGGCCATGGTCATTTGGTCCTATTGCTTGGGCCTATGGTGGCACAGTATATCAAAGGGGGAGAATATAGCACAGGAGGCCTATTCACTGGAAGGTAAGACAGAAGCAAAAAAGATAGGTAGAAAGGAGACAGATTGTAATTTTAAGGAAACTATACTTTGGAGGAAGTTGTAGCTTTGAGAAAACTGCAACTTGAAAACGTAATCAGTCATCCAAGGTTGCAGCTGTTTTTCTTCGAGACTCTTCACACTTCAGTTCCAAAGTGTCTGAAAGATACTATGAGTCTGTAAACTGAGCCTGTGTTTTTCTTCCAATTGATAAATTAAATTCAAAAGATTTTCACTTTCAAAGAAATAGAATTACTGATTTACTACCGTATCCTTAAAGATCAAACAGATACAAATGGTTTACATTTCAGCCTAGTTGATAAGCTTAGTTTTGGTTTCAGCTCACTAACAGGCAACCTGACTTTAAGGAACAGATACCAAGAAATGATAACTCAAAAAATAAACATCCTTGATCATTTGTCTTGAAGATACCCAAGACCGCATAAATATGGTATCAACACCTTCCAGTAGTGCCTCACGCTGGGGAGCAAGCCCTTCACAGAAGGGACTTTGGGGAACATTTGGGATCCATATACTACCTCACCAGCTGTTTCCTAAAAAGGTCCATTTAGCCTACTTTGTTTAGTCAGGAACTTGTGAGTTGCTACCTAGAGACAGTGTGAAATCTTGATCCTTAACACACTTTCTTAATTTATCCTGGTAAAATGTAGAGTGAATGAAATCTAATCTCGGCTACTTACATTTCTCATTTTCAAAGTGGAAACCCAGATTTAACACTTTCTCTACGCCAATTGGTGAATGTAAAAATCTGGGCCAAGTAGACACAGCTCTGTCTGCTTGGGCCAGGAGGCCTCAGAATTGTGTCTTAGGCTGCACTTCCACCTGCTGGCGGCGGATTCCCATAGCAGCTCACCGCCAGGGACTGGGATGTCTTGCGGGGCGGGCTTGGGCTCAACCTAGAGGTTTATGACGCTTCAGTACAGCCATAGTACCAACCAACTTTGAGTAAAAACACTTCCAGATTTTACTTACCGAATGCTTACTTGATACTAACGTAGCATCCTGGCACGACAAAGGAACTGGGCACAGCTGGAGTTTCTGCAAGGCATCTGTCCACTCATCCGTCCATTCTACAAATATTTAGGTTTGGGGCTCTTGGGGTATGCCAGAGGACAAGATACAGAAAGTCCGCCCCGAGAGGCCTTCATTACGCTCTCTGTACTTTACAGATACCATATAAACGAACTCGGGTACATGGAAAAGAGCTCTACACACTACCGTTTCCTCCAATGTCAACAGGCCTACAAGATAGTGCAGCAAATTAAATGAAGAACCCAGAGCACATCGGCCCTGGCCGGCAACTCTGCAAAACTGAGAGTTCAAACGCGACCTAGGTATCTAGGGTGTGGCCGGCCGGACTGACCGAAAAGCCCCAGTAAACCGTTTTTCCCCAAGCTTTCTCCCTAGACATACTCTCTGCAGGGAGCAAGGCTTTCGGCCCGTCCGCAGAGGGCAATGGCGTGCAGGGGATTTGCCCCTGTAAAGGAGACACTTGCTCCCTCGCGGGTCCCACAAGGTGGCTGCGCGACCGCCCCGCAGACCTGGCAGGTCTAAATCCCCTGACCAGGGACAAATCTTCAGCGCAGCGCGCACGCGCCCCCAACTGGCGGCGTGCAGTCCCGGAGCAGGGTCCGGAATGGAACTGCGCTAGGGAACCTTCGGAGCGCGTTGCTGGTTTCCGGGGGGAGGAGGACAATTGAGGACGTGCGCGCTGCCGTTCCCATGGCCGCCATGGAGGCGATGGCGTCCGCTGTTCGCGGACTGAGGCTTTGGCGGGTTACTCCAAGCGGTGGGGCCAGCCGGAGTGAGTTTCCGCGGGCCGTGGGGACGGAGAATCAAGCGTAGAGAGCGGTGACTGCCCAGATGGGGCCTGGCGGGGACCCAAGAGGTCCGGCGGGTCGAGGAAGGAGGAGCGTTTTCTGCCCGGGCTGTGGCTGCGCCCCGTAGCGGTGTCAGAGGACAGTTCTAGGGGCGAGAGGGGGCCGGGGCGGAGCTTCTGGTGCCGCTGGGAGGGAGCCCGCGTGTCCCTCAAACATGTTGGGATCTCCCCTTGGGGATACTCGTAACTGCCTCGTCAGATCTGATTTGGGGACGGAGCCGGGTGGGGTGGCAGAAGAATTAAGGCGTGTTATGCACACGTACAACTCCCCACGGTGAACGTAATTACTAAGTACTGGAGCCATGTACTGATAAACACAGTTATTTAAAAAACCACTTCCCACCCTAAGATGTTGAGAATTTGGGCACCAGACTTGCTCTTTACTGTAGGTCTTTTGGCCTACCCCAGGACTCTTCCAAACCGACAACTTCGTTCCCCTTTCCAATGATTCTGTTCTGGTTTTGACTTTGCTTCTTGGTTACTTTTGTCCTAAAGCACAGATCGGAATATCATACAGGAAATCGGCGAGAAGCAGATCTGATGTGAACGAGCAAAGTAGTGGCAGGGGTCTGATCTAGCTGCGGTTCTCCCTTGTTGACATTTTAGTTATTATTATTAGAAAGTTGTTTCACTTTGCTTCTGAATGAATTTTTGACGAATGCAAAGTTCTGTTGATTCTTACTCTTTTTCCTTGTTAAGGGAAGATAGTTATAAGGAGCGCAGTGGGGCGGGATTTGGACAGTAAGTTACTCATTTTTTTATCTTTATGTTTAACTTCTCTGCAGGATGTGTAGCAACTTCGCCAGCTGCTCAGCTGTCATTGACTGAAATGACAGAAATGCGGAATGATCTCTTTAATAAAGAGAAAAAAAGACAGTTATCATTAACTCCCCGAACTGAGAAGATTGAAGTTAAACATGTTGGGAAAACTGACCCCGGCACTGTCTTTGTTATGAATAAAAACATTTCAACTCCTTACAGTTGTGCCATGCGTAAGTAACAGTATCAAGATAAAATTTTTACCATTTTACATGAGCTGTGTGGCAGAACTGCTGCAGAGGAGATGCTGTAATTGCTTCCCCAACTTCTCAGAAGTTCTCTTTTCTGTTGTCTGCTCACTGTTCCTTTACTTCTGGAGGATACATACTATGGTTATTGCAAGGTTGGCCTGTAGTGCTTCTGTTGTCCTGGACCTTCCTGGAATCTGGCTGTGTGTAGCATCTTAAAATACTGTCAAGCAGAAGGCCAGACTTGAATGCATTGTTACTGGTGGACTTGTCCTTTGATATAGCTGGAGTAGTTTGCCTTTCAGGTTTCACTAACACGTTCACGATGGGGCCATACATGCTTGACTGTCCCATCACGTGGCTTGTACCAACCAATTGGACTGTCCTATGCCGTCTGATGGTACAGTCATACATGTACCACCTGTTTTGTTCATATCTTAAGAAAGATAATTGTGCCCTGTGTGTGTTTTGGTGTGAAAATCAAAACTCCATACATATTATTTTGATCAAACAATTTGGATGAAGCTTTGATAGAAAGGATAGTATTTAAATTAGAAAGTACCCCAAAGTACATGTCATGACTAGCTGCTTTATTTAAATTTTTGGAAAGCTTAGTAATGATTTCTTTTAAATATTCAGCAATTTTAGCAATTAAGAAGGGCTAAGGAGTGTATGTCTTCTCAATCTTCTCCTTCGGCATTTGAGTTAGCACTTATGATTATTATTTATTTGATTTTTAAATATTTCTTAAACCTCTTGTATGTGATAGGTATACAAGAGAAACTTCAGGATGTTATCAACACCAAGCATGATACGTATCATGTGTAGAGGTGTAGTTTCTGAGGTACCTGCAGCATCATCTCTCCTTGTCATTCATACCTTCCGTCATTCAGCACCTGGTACATTCTAGTATTCTGTTTTCTGTCTTTATCTGTACTCTGTATTGTTATAGTCTATATTTATCTAGCACCTGTTATATTCTAGGCCTGGTGCTAGGCTCTGGGAATACTAAGGGGTGGAGTTTATGTAGTGGCTAATAATTTAGACATTATTATTTGAATATTTTTGTATCTGTGTACTTGCAAGACATCAGGGTTAGAGCTATATTCTAGGGCCATAAAGCAGACCAGAGCTAAATGACTTTTATATGCATTTGTATTCCTAATTAAAAAATGATAGCCACAGTATTTGATTTGAATCCATGTCATGAGAGTAAGATGGTTTGGAAATAAAATCCCAAACAATCTAGAACAGATGAATGTGGGTGTGTATTAATATAGTTTTCCTTTTCTTCTAAGTTTTGTGTCCATCTATCTAAATATATCCATGTTGCTGCTCTCTGAATATTTCAGTGTAGCTCTTGGCAGATTGTTTCATTAATAATTGACAACTTAATTTCAAACTAAACTTACCCTTAATGATTTTTATAAATGGTTTGAGTAATTTTGTTCATAATCAATAATACCTTGAATGTGTTAAGTAGTTTTTTGTTATAACACTTTTCTACTGCAAAAGACAATCTCAAGAATTTTGCTTTTTTTATTATCTTACTTCCTAATGAAGCATTGTTTAAATTTTTACTTTGGGTTTTGTTAGATGTAGATCATCAATGAATTTTAAATTTCTAGATTTAAGTGAATGGTACTGCAGGAAGTCTATTCTGGCTCTTGTGGATGGACAACCTTGGGACATGTATAAACCTTTGACCAAGTCCTGTGAAATTAAATTTCTTACATTCAAAGACTGTGATCCAACAGAAGTGAATAAGGTATTTGTCTCTACCTTCTAACTCCCTCAGTTTTTTCTGTTTTTATTAAAACCTATTTTGTATGTAGTATATAGCATGTAAAAATATGGTGAAGATCATATGCTGCACTGTCCTAGATAGGCAGTGTTTTATTTGTTAGATTAGAAGATACTGTAATTCAGAAGATACCAGTGGCATCTACTTCTCTGTTTGGGATTGAGGCACCTGTATGACTTACCTTTTACTTTCATGACTGCTCAGCTTACATTTATTGATAACCTTCCTCTAGGTTGCTGGAGATTACATTCCCACTACTGCTACTTGAACTGTCCTCTCTGGGTGATTTCAGTAACTTCTAAAAATTCTCTTCTGGCTGGGGATATAGCTCAGTGGCATAAGCACCTGCCTGGCAAGCACAAGGTCCTGAGTTCGATTTCTGGTTAAAAAAAAAATTCTCTTCTGTTCTCTCCACCCATTTTTTATTAAGAGTTTTATTAAGTGACTTGAAAGTATTGCTTCTTTCCCCTAAAGAACTTCCCTGCCTGATAATGTTCACGTATCCTGCCAGGTTCCGGGTAGTGTGCCCAGCCTGCCTTCTTTGCTGAGCCCCCTTCCCCCAGCCTTGTCTCTTCATCCTTTCTGTACTGTGCTCATCAAGAGCCCTGGACATTAGCGGTTTATGCTGTACCATCTCCTTGCTCTCATAGATGCTCCTCTGTCAATGCTGAGCATTTTCTTTCCCTTAGGAAATTTGTGTATCATCTCTCCTTCAGTTGAAATGCCGTCTACTTTGTGCAGCCTGATAGCTTTCTCTTTGTCAGAATTTTGAGAGTGTGGCAACACTGTCTCTAGATAGAGTATTTTAATTTTGTGTTGTAACATAAATTGTTGAAAGTGTTTGATTCTTGGTTCTGTGAAGCTAGTAACCATTTCCTTACTGGACCTAGTACTTCACTTACATACTATAGTGTTTAGTAGATATTTGTTGAAATGAAATACTTAAGAAATGATAGAAATGGTAATATTAGCAGGCAACATCGAGTAATTATTATATATCAGACACTGTTCTAGATGACTTACATAGGTAGTTATTAACTTAATCTGCATGCCAACTCTCCAGAATGGGTGCTGTTCTCCTTATTTTTGTTGTAAGTAAACTCACAGAGGTTCCACAGCTTGATCAAGGTTACTAGTTCAGGAAGTGATGGAATCTGGATTTGAACCATGGTGTTCTGACTAAAGTAAAACATTTAAAAACATTTAATGAAGTGGGATGGATGAAGTATATTTTGCTCCTTGTCTTTAAGGCCTAGGATTATACTTATTTCTATAAATATAATGGGATTTTATAGAATACACAATGGAGCAGTCTTTGCCATATGCAACCAAATTACCCACTTCTGTAGTCCTCATGTGGAGAAGAGTTTAGAAGGTCAAGTGCGTAGAGGGTTGGCAGTAAGGGGAGTTAGGTGGTCAGGTGTGGTGAAGTCTTACGTTTCTCTTTTTGTCTCTGAGAAGGGCATTTCATGGATGCCTCAGCCATGTCCATGCATCAAAATGTGCTAGGAAGGTGAAGGCCCTGTAGGTGGGGAGGCTGCTTTGAGTAACTTGAGTGATGTTGGGTATAGGGCAGAGTCATAAATAATTCTTATGACTTGAATTTTCGTTACCATATTTATAAATGGTATATAAATAAATATTAATATATCTTAGTTTAGCACGTTTCTTAAGAATTTAACTTTATCCAGGGTTAAAAGTGAACACTGTCAGATACTAAAACTACCTATTTGTTGATACCAATTTGAACATCTGATATGTTGCACAGAAGCATTGCTAGTATTTGCTGTTGCTGTTGTTGGGAGAGGTCATCTCATAGCTTGATAGTAGCTATTGCTCCCTGCTGAGAATGGACAGATATTTGAAAAATCATGCCCAAGCCAAAAGTTAACTTAATGTTGTGGAAACTTCGCGAATCTTTGTGTTATGTTTTTGTATACTTTTCCTCCAGGCTTACTGGCGCTCTTGTGCCATGATGATGGGCTGTGTCGTGGAGAGGGCATTCAAAGACGAGTATGTGGTCAGTTTGGTCAGAGCTCCAGAGGTGCCTGGTAATGTACATATGTAACTAGAGACGCTTCCTGTATTCCTTAAATATTTTGATACCTAATTGTGGTGGTATACAGAATTCATTTCTATTTTTATCTAATATAAATTACCACTCTATGTGTTTCATTTATTATAGGTAACAAAATTCATCCTATTATGAAATAATGAAGTAATTTTTAGAAGTCAATAATCAAATTAGTGGGAATATTTCTTTAAGTATGGATTTCATAGAATTTTAGTGTCGCAGTGCTGATTTCTTACCATTTTGAACCTTTAATTCTACACTGGACATGTGGCAAAGGAAATGGGCACCTGAGTACATTGCTGGGAATTGCTGTGCTCAGGTGCTACCGCTCCACCGGAAGTGTCCGTGATTCTGGTAGGGATACCACTTCGATGAGGTGGAAGGATACAGATTTTGTAATTTTGTTGAACTACAATTTCTTACCATTATGTGTACTAGGATCACATAGGTTATTTTTTTTTTAAAGTATATACACCAAAAATATCTGAAAGATGCTCAAGAAATGAGGTGATAGTGCTCTGGTAAGCAGCTGGGATCGTGGCAACAGTTTTATAATTTGTAATGTTGGGAGAGGTTGCTAACTTGATTTCCTGGTCTAAATATTCATGTTGCAAATGAGTAAGCTCCTGCCCTAACAGATTTGACTTTGCTTTTTATTTTGGTTGGATTTACAGTAATTGCCGGAGCCTTTTGCTATGATGTCGTTTTGGATAAGAGACTGGATGAGTGGATTCCAACAAAAGTAAGTAGAATATTAATTTTGTAGTCTAACCTTTCTCTGAAAATGATTCCTTCCCTGTTGTTGAATGTACTGTACACTGAGGAACTTAAAAGAATCTACCTACCTATCTTTCTGTCGTTGCTTTTTCAGCATATATATTTAAGACAGACTCAAGGTGAGGGTATTCGCAGCAACATATCTGATGTCTTTTATGTCCTGTTTGGCTTTTTCTTGAAGTGCCAACTTTTCTTAAGGTAGTGGTTTTCAAGATGCTGGGGTAACTCTTGGTTGATGTGGTGACAGATGGATTAGATCCGTACCGATTTCAATCCCCACAGCACAGTTTGAAAAGCACTGCCTTAAATTATTTTAGTGTGTTGCATGCTCAGAGATCCCTCTGCGCACAAAGGTTATGCGAAAGGGGATGACGTAAAGAATAAACTGCAAAAGCTAACACAGATGGCAACAAAATAAACTCTTTGTGAATGCCTGCCTTCATAATAAGGGTGCTTCTTATTGGTCAGAGACTTGAGTCGCAAGAGGACCTGGCTACCACCGACAGTTCACATCAGTTGTCTAGGAGGTAGGGTTACTGATGGTTATGAGAGACCGAGCCTGGAGGCTTAGTTATGATTGGGGAGGATGAGCATGGACCTAATTCTTTTTTTTTTTATTTTATTTTAAGGATAAAAGGAGGGAAACATTAACAGACATACAACATTTTACAACATATCACAAGCACAATACAGACAATACAGAGTTACAAACAAAGTGGTAGGGAATTAACAATGGTGGTTGTATTACATATTGATATCTTCAAAGTGGCTTCTCATGAAAACAGATATAGACATGCAATACTGGTCAACCAAAGACTCATTGACAGTTTCTTTCAGCATAGAAACAGCAGATAGAAGAACAACCATGTTATCTATCCTGTATATATATACATACAAAATTTCTCCTTCTTTCCCTTCTCTTTTCCCACATCCCAGAAGCCCTTTACTCTTTGGTGGTTTCCTATCATTTCACAGTGTCTATCATACCTCCGAGTTTGAATTAACTCTTTCAAGTTTTACACTAGTGACACAATGCGGTGCTTGCACATGTATGTTTGATTTATTTCACTTATGAGTATGGTCTCTAGTTGTGACCATTTAAATATAAAGGACTCGAGTTTATCTTTCTTTACAGCTGAGTAATATTCCATTATATAAAAGTACCATAATTTTCTTATCCAATCCTCAGTGGATGGACATTTGGGTTGCTTCCACATTTTAGCAATTACAAATTGTGCTGCTATGAACATAGGTGCACATATATCACTGTGATATGATGTTTTTAGATCTTCTGGGAAAATACCCAGCAGGGGGATAGCTGGGTTGAATGGGACCTCTAAACCTAGTTTTCGGAGGAATCTCCAAACTGATTTCCACAGTGGTTTCACCAGTCTGCATTCCCACCAGCAATGGAGAAGGGTTCCTATTTCTCCACAGCCTCGCCAGCATTTGTTATTGGTTGATTTCTTAATGCTAGCCATTCTTACTGGGGTAAGGTGGAATCTTAGTGTTGTTTTAATTTGCATTTCTCGAATGACTAATGATGTTGAACATTTTCTCATATATTTATTTGCCGTTTGTATCTCCTTGTCTGAGAAATGTGTGTTCATCTCAGCTGCCCATTTTTGGATTGGGTCTTTGAATTTGGAGGGGCTGAAATTTTTTAATTCTTTATATGTTCTAGATAGAAGCCCTTTGTCTGAGGGACAATCAGCTAAAATTTTTTCCAAGTTTGTGGGTTTTCTTTTGACTCTGCTAGTGATTTCTTTAGATGTGCAGAAACTTTTCAGTAGGATGAGATCCCACTTGTTGATTCTGGACCTAATTCTTAATTAAGTGAAAGTGTATGTTATGAATTTGGGAGTCTGGAGATCAAAAAAGTGGGAGGAAATATAGCATACCATTTTACTAATTTCATTGTACTGTTTTTTACATTTCAATATTTCTGAAAATAGAATTATCTTATAGTGCATACCAACTAACGGTTATAATTGGTAGTGTTTTTTCTTAGTGTTACATCTTAGATTTAGTAGTTATTAAAATCAAAGATTCTGGAGTCAGGAAAGGTCAAGCTTTAAATTCTGCCTTTGGAAGTTACTTCTTCTTAATCTTGCACTTTACTTCACATGGAGAAGAGGAGAAGAGGGAAACAGGAAGGATGGAGAGAAAGAGAGAGGGAAGAAGAAGGAGAGATGGGGCAGAGAGAAGAGGAGCTCTGGTTGTTATGCTGAGTTCTTATCAGTATAACTTTTTCCTTTTCAATTGTGGTCCCAAATTTAAAAACAGATTTTCACTTTATTAGAAGTAGAGTAAAACTACTGAGATCAAGATCTGTTATCAGTGAAACTTGCTGCCTCTTTTTTTCCTTTTTTTAACATAAAACTTTTAAAAAAAAATGTCCTAGCTGATAGAGGCTCCATGCATTGGGTGGGTGACGCAGGGAAAGCAGGGAAGAATTACGTTGAATGGTGCTTGTATTATCCACAAGTACAGATTTTTAAAGTATTGCGTTATCCCATTAAGATGGAAAAGTCCTTTCATGTGAAAATATCTAATGAGAAGCTTATGAAATCTTATTACGAAAATTATTAAGTAGTAGTACTTGACCTTTTCTATATTAGTAACAATTTATAATATGAAATTGAATTATACATTTTTATTTAAAATCTCAAAAACATAGTGTATATTATTAATTATTGTAATTATGTAAAATTGATCATTAAACAAATTTTTTTATTTTAAAGAGAAAAGAACAGAAACATTAACAAACACAAAGATATAGAACAACACAAAAACAATAAAAAAGTGATACAGAATTTCTAACAAGGTGATAGGAAATTAACAATGGTTGTTGTATTACATATTGTTATCTGCAAATTGGTTACTCAGATAACCAGATATAGGCATATATGATTGATCAAACAATTAAACATGAACTAAACAGAAATTTATAATACTGAGCATATGCTTTATTTTGTACAAGACCAGTGATGATTCAGCATTTCTATTGAACCTTTCTTAGTTATGAAAACAATAATTTTATTCTCCTTTCATTGAATAAACTGTCTTAGTGTAAACACATTTTATGTCTTGCTATTTACTAGCATTTTTATTTTGTTACATTGTAGTTTTTAATAAATATAAGCCTATATAATTTGGATGAAATGTTTCATTAAAATTATTTGTAAGCTTATCTTTAATACATTTTTTTTTTTGAGACAGTGTCTCATTGTGTAGCTCAGGCTGGCCTTGAACTCATGGCGGTCCTCCTGCCTTAGCCTCCTGAGTCCTGGGATTGCTGATGTGTGCCACCATACCTGGCTATAATAACTGCTATTAATGCAGGACAATAATATTTTTACATTACTGAGGATTCTGCCTTTGCCTTTGCACTGAACTATACCTGCAGCCTTTTAAAATTTTTTTAAAATTTTGGGACAGAGTCTCATTTTACCAAGTTGCCTGGGCTGGGCTTGAACTTGCTATCTCCCTGCCTCAGCCTCCCACATTGTCAGGATAACAGGTATGTGCCACCACACCTGGATAATAATATTCCAATTTTAGGTAAATTACAAGCTTTATAGCTTACAGAGTGGGAGATGTATGTGGTCTAAATATTCAGTTATTGCAAATTAGTAACTTACTCTTCCAACAAATTTGCTTTTCGCCTTTTAGTTGGATACACAGTACTAAGCCTACAACTTTATCTGACTTATGAAGACATGGTGTTAGGTAAATCACTAAAGGTTAATACTTTTCATTTTTAAGGAGAACCTACGTTCCTTCACAAAAGATGCTCATGCTTTAATTTACAAAGATCTGCCATTTGAAACTCTGGAAGTTGAAGCAAAAGTGGCATTAGAAATATTTCAACACAACAAGTAAGTGTTAGCTTAATTTAAAGCAAGCTTAAACCTCTCAGTATTATGTGTAATGACAAAAACTTAGCTTTTTAGGATTTTTATACTTGAGGTACATATACCATTTTGTTTTCTTCTCTGAGATCCCTTTTTCTACACTAGTCTGTTCTCTTTTGTTTATCTTATTGTTGATTTTAATTTAAAAAATGATCCCCTCACAGTTAGCAATTTCCACACTTTGATTTCTCTGTTTTCTAGGCCAGCTCTTCACTTTATATCAACATAGTAGTGTGCTTCCCCTTTTACTGTCCATGCCGAAGCGATAACATACTAGAGTGCTGTATTATTTTGCTCACTTGCCAGCCTTTCTGTTCCATTCTTCCACTCTAACTGGAAAGGATAAGATTGAAAATGCAAGCAGTTGGAGTTGACAGCAGAGGAAAATGTGTACGTGGTTAGGTCTTAGTCTTCTGCATATAAATTAAAATATATATAAATCTATTTGATGGAGTTTTCTTTGTCAGCATTTTATTTATTTATTTATTTTTTGGGGGGTTTTTCTCTGGTACTGGGAACCAAACTCACGACCTTGCGCTTGCCAGGCAGGTGCTTTGCCGCTGAGCTAAATCCCCAGCCCTTTTGTCAGCATTTTAAATCCTACCTGCTTCTCAATTCTCTTTTCCAATCAGAGAATGTCTAGTTCACCTTCTGCTACTAGTTGTAAGAATATAAACTAAATTTTAATATTAATCTAATAGAAAATTAGTACTACTTAGAAACATAAGTACTGTAGTCTGAAGCCAAAATACACACTTGCAAATTGTTAAAGCTTATATGTAAGAATTTTTTTTAGGGGGGCTGGGGATTTAGCTTAGTGGCACAGCGCCTGCCCAGCAAGTGCAAAGTCATGAGTTCAATCCCCGGTACCAGAAAAAAACCAAAAACCAAAAAAAAAAGAATTTCTTTTAGGTATATAGAAATTGAATCATAAATTTGCATAGAGATAGTTTCATAGGGATAGTCATAAGTATGTTCTTGAATTAGTTCATAGAGTCTTCTCTGCTCATATTGCCTGGCGTTCCTCAAAGGAGTATGGCTCACAATATTCTTCCATAAGACAGTTATTTACATGCTGAGAAAAGTACACTGTATTCAGCTGTTTGGAGAAGAGTTGGGAAAAAATTTACTCACTGAAGTGTAGGGTATACCAAAGCATTTTGCAGTATATCCTGGAAGCAACGTACTAAGAAATGAGTAGAAATATATCATTGTAAAGTACTGGTAGTGCCGTAGAATCAAAGCACCATTTACAGTATTGATTAAAAAATTCCTTGGATTATCAACTCATCAAATCACTTTCTGACAAAAGTCTAGGCATATGCTCTCTAACAGAAATATATGAGCCATACCTGGTAATCTGAGCAACAACTCTGAAGATAATATGCAATATGACAACCACTATTGATTTCCTACCATCTTGTTTTGAAATTCTGTATCATTGTAATGCTTTTTTATTCTATTTAAAATAAAAAAGAATTTTCAAAAAAAAAATATATATATGAGCCATGAATATAATTTTAAAATGTGTAGTACTACATTTAAAAGTCAAAAGAAAGGTATAATTAACTGTAATAAGAAATTTTATTTAAGCAATATATTTAAAATATAATTTCAACATATGATCAATATTAAAAATTGCTGATGCTGTCTTGTATTCTTTTTCATAGTAAGTCCTCAGAATCTGGTATGTATTTTACATTTAAGGCATACTTTACGTAGGACTATGCACATTAAAATGCTCCATAGTTATATTACTGGACAGTATACTTTCAACTTCCATTCTCCCTCTCTCTCTTTACTTGTATATATTTTTGGTACCAGGAATTGAACTCAGGACCTTGCACTTTCCAGGCAGGTGTTGTGCCGCTGAGCTATATCAGTGGCCATTCTCTATATGTTGAAATTTCACTTTACTCCACGTAAATATTCAAGTCTGGTGGGGACTTCTGGGACTTAGATAAATTTAGCTGTCATGTGGCAGGATGAAGAAGACAGTTCTGGAGGACGAAGAGTGTTGGGCTGTGGTGGTGAGTTAGTGATTGAGCCTCTCTGTTTTAGAGGGAAAGGCGGGAACCTTTAGAAGTTTTGGCTCACAGGGGACAAAAGTATCTCTTGGGGGTGCATCAGGAGAGACAGTATTGAGGGCATTGGCCCGCTATGTAACGCATGGGGACTGTGGCAGACGGGATGGCCGTCAGTGGATGTTTTTGATGAACTAGTGCTTCCTGCCCATGGCCTGCCATTGTGCTCACGCAGATGTGGTCACATGTATGTGCACACTTGTACTTGTTTAGCGTGCTGGGCTAAACAGACAAGGTTCTTCATAGTGAGTAGTAGAGTCCTGATCTGAATGTGGGCTCTGCAGCTCGACTTGTGCTGTCAGTTATCCTGACAGAACTGACAGATTTGAGAGATATTAGGCTGTAGAATTGATAGGCCTTGGGGGTGAATTTAATGCGATGAGAAGAGGTATGGTGTAAAAGGAGGAAATGGCCCTGCTGTTTCACTTGGACGTGGTTGTTTGGTGGAGTCATACTGATAGGACATTTCGGAATAAGAACAAGTTTAGTGTGAAAAGAAGGAAATAATCTGTTTAGTGTGGAACTTTGGAGGATTAAGGTATTTGTGGACCAGCCTAGTGAGTGTATAGAAAGGTTTTGGATACACAGTTCGGGACATGGAAGAGCTAGGTGAGTTAGAGGCAGAGAAGATACAACTGTGTAAGTAGGAGCTAAAGCTTGTCGATCAAGGAGTTAGCCTGGAGGGGGTGCTTAGTGTGAAAAGAGTGTCCAGGATGGAATCCTTAGAGGGTGGAGGAGAGCAAGAGTGGCTGGGAGATAAATAGGCTGTGGGAGGGAATGCCTCCGGCCTGTGGAAAGCGCTCTGTGCAAAGCAGCGGTGAGCTGTGGTATGAAGAAAACGCGGACTGAAAAGCGCCCATTGGGTCGGCCCCAAGCAGGCCCTGCTAACTTTGGTGTGGAGTTCTAGGGCGGTGAGGATGGGCAGCTCCAAGTGAAACCACAGCTGAAGAGGAGAAAGTGAGGCGTCTTAGACACTTTTTTTAAAAAATATATTTAGAGTTAAAATTTTTTTTCTACACTGCTTTTTAGGTACAAAATAGATTTTATAGAAGAGAAGGCATCTCAGAACCCTGAGAGAACAGTCAAGCTACACAGGTAAATAAACTCCCCCACAATGGCTGATATGCTAATTTACAGTGAAGTTTAGCATTATTGTTACCTTAGAGAAGTCTATGACTGAAATAGATGAGTTTTTACTGTATTTTATTGTTCTTACTATCTTGTTTTCTGGTGCTATGTTCAATTTTTTGACATAGCAGTAAAAGGAAACTTTAATTATCTTTAGGAACAGTTGTGCTTTCTGGTCTTCATTTTATTATTTTTATTCATTTTGAGAGTTGAAAAATGATGTTTAAAATCGAAATTTTTAAGAGTTAGTTTTGAAATTATGGGAGATATTTATTGTTACATAAATTCAACATGATAGTACTTTGAACAAGAATATGAACACTAATTAGAGATTACTACTTTATGTTACATCAAAGTTGAATTGGAATATACTGTCTGTCCTGAGAAACTATCTTGCATATAACAATATGTAGAACAATAACCATTGATAATTTCCTAGCACTTTGTCTGTAATTTGGTAAGCTCCCCCTATTATTATGTTATCCTTATTTTACTCTTTAAAGTTAAAAAAAAAAGGAATATACTGTCTGATTCATGGGTGAGAAAGGTCCGCTGCTTATGTCAACATTCTTCTATATGGAGCAAATCCAAGTACAATGCCTTATATAAAAATGACTTTATGGCCTGAATCTATTTTCTCAGCTATATTTTCTTCACTTGGACATAACTTTGTTTCCTCTTGAAACTGCTCTTTATTTCAGGACACCAGCTGTCCTGAGTACTGAATTCTAAGCCACTGTAACAGGTTATTGCAAGATTGTAGGTTTTCAGTGTTAGACAGTTAGCTGTCATCAGTAGCATGATGTATTCCATGACTCTTCAAAACTTTAAACTTACCTAAACGTTGATTAAGAGAAGGGTTCACTTGGTGTGATTTTCAAAGTTTAGCAATTTAACTTGAGGCTGTATGCCAGGGGTTGTTACAGATAGAATGGAGCCATAAGATTGTTCTTGAGTGGGACATAGTGGCAAAGAGAGTAATTTCTTTTCTAACCAATCAAAAATGATTTGATGTTGAGGTTTTGTTTGTTTACCTTTTAAATCAAATCAGAATCGGAGACTTCATTGATGTGAGTGAGGGTCCTCTTATTCCACGAACGAGCGTTTGTTTCCAGTATGAAGTGTCAGCAGTTCATAGCCTTCAACCCACTCAGCCACGTCTTGTTAGAAGATTCCAGGGCCTGTCCTTACCTGTTCACTTAAGAGTAAGTAAAGGGTAAAGTTCTAGGTTTTTGCGATTTGGGATGAGATTGTAGATTGGATTTTATACCAGCTTGAAGGATATAAATTTTAATTTTCCTTAAGTTGTGTGCCATTAATATTTTGTAAACTTGAGTTTATGATTAAAAACAAATTTGCCTAGGATATAAAAGCTAATTCACAAAAGGAACAATTGTTAAAAACATAAAATCAAATTGAGATACTACTTTTACTTTTTAGATTAGGATGAGGGTGCATTGAGGGGACATTGGAATGCATATTGGTAAGACCTTTCTAGAGTACCTTTGACCTAACGTTTGGCATGTCCTTCCCCTAATTTTAATGATATATTCATGACTCAGGGCCTGTTCTTCTTCCATATTGGATAAGTCCCAACCCCTTACCCTGTTTCACAAAGGCCTGCATTTTCTGGCCCTGCCTGCCTTGGTCTCTGCTCCAGCTGTTCATTCTGGCTGAGTAGGGTAAACGTACCATACTGGGCTTTCTCTAGAAGGATTTGCACATAGATAGTAATTTTGTTTCAGGTTGTCTGAGCTTATTCTGAAATAGTCCCTGGATCATCCGTATGCCTCAATATTGCCTTCAGTTGCTTAATGAAATTGATATGGTCATTGTCACTTTACCATTTTCACTAATGAATTCTGATAATCCTTTGCTACATAAGACTTAAGAATTGAAGAAATTGGCTCTATCATTTTTCTGTGGTCTTTATTGTTTCTGTTTATTCTTGCAATTTGCTAAATCCTCTGGGTCTGCCAGTTTCAGAGTGAAGATGTCACAAGTAGTTCCTAATGAACCTCTTGTGATAGCTTAGGATTTAAAGAATAACCTCTAGTACATTGAAATTGGCTGTTTAGAGAAAGAATTGCAGACTTTGGCAAAGTGGGACACATTTTTACCTTCCGTTAGGAAGAATGTCTTTTATGATGGAAATGATGGAAAGGAATAAAAGAGGAAGAACGATGTTTTCTGTGCTTAGTCTTTTTTCCTTAAATGCCAATAGAGCAATTGTTCTGTGTATGCAGTACCTGTTTTCCCTAGTAATTTCATTTTTATAACCAGTTAGTCACATCAGTGCTTCTAGCTTTTTATTTACTTGTTTTCTTTAAAAAGCTATATAAGAACGCAATCCTTTTTAACTTTTCTGCTTTGATTCTCAACAAATCTTTTCTATTCAGGCACATTTTACCATATGGGATAAGCTATTAGAAAGATCTCGGAAAATGGTAAGTATTTTCTTCTTTCTGTGCAGAAATTTTCATTAAAATTAACAACAACCAAGGGGATGGGGGGGTAGTATCTTGACTCAGTAGCCAAGTTAGTGTTGTGACTGTTTGTTTATCCCGGAGCTATACTGGCAAAAGTAGAGTTGTAATTTGGTAACTCTCTTTTGATTTTGTTAATAGCATGGAAATAACATTGTAGAACTTGAATGGAAATGAGACTATTACTGTATAATAGTACTAGATTTTAATTATTGTATTGGTATTAACTACGTCTTAGGACAGTTTTTTAATAAACTTAATGTACACTTAAAAGATTATAATTTGTCAGATTTTTAAAGCTGCCTTGACTCTTAATAGTAATTGTGTAAATACTCTGTAACACTGGATTTGAATATTTATGTGTCTGTAGTTAATTCTGTCTTAGCATTGTATTTCACAAGTAGGACTGATTATATTTCTTGACTACAGCATCATTATATCATAGGCTAAGTATTCTCCTTCACCTTACTTTTTCAGATAGCTGTCCTGTATAACTTGATCTAGTGTATTCTTCCATCTCACCCTAACTTCCCATGACTGTACGCTAATCAAGCTTCTAGTTATTACTGTTATAATAATTATTGTTGAAGGAAAAAGACAAAATGTTGTCATAACAGGACTGTGGGAGGAATTAAGCTGGTGGCTAAGGGGTAAAATTGAAAGTATTTATTAGAGAAATAAAGCTGTTCATGTTTTTACAGGTAACTGAAGATCAAACTAAACCAACAGAGGAAAGTGCATCTACCTAAAAACTTTTAAAAATTTAAATGTGTACAGTAACTTAAAATAAAAGATTTTAATATAATATCTGTGTGTACTTACAGAAATTAACTGTTCCTGTCCCCAAGATTGATAGTAATCTTTGCTTTTTGTTTTCTCCAAAGGGTAAAAAAATTTTTATGTTGCTCACAATAAAAATTTCATATAGAAACAACCCTTCCTTTCCTGCTCCACAGTTGCAGTACTTCATCATGTTTTCTTTTTCCTACATGTACGTATACAGATACAATTTCAACACAATAAGTAAGGTCATACTATATTTGTTGTTTACATTTTTCAACTATTTAAAACAGGAGTGCAGTAAACAGCTTTCTGCAAATGGCACGTGTTTGTAAATGGAATCTGGTGTTATCTAAGTAGTTAATATGCGCTGGGCTTTGCGCTGAGTCCTTCATGTGGAGCTTTTTAATTCTCACAACAGCTTATTGAGAAGATGTTTCCATTTCATAAAGGAGGAAACAAAGCATAGAGTTTGAAAGTGGCAGAGCTGGAATTTGAATGCAGGCAGTTTTACAAACATGCTCTTATATACTAGTATATACTGCTTTATAACTTTATAGGTATAGATTGCTGGTGGTAGGTTTACCTACTGATGCTACCAGGTGCTGGTCTCCAGAAAGTTTTGCCAAATGCTGTTCCTTGCAGCAGTGTCTGTGAGTGCCTGTTTGTCCACAGTTTTTTTTTTTAGGGTTCTCAGTGGCAGTTCCAGGGGTAACTCCAAAAGAGAGTGCAGGAGTGTACTGAACTGGGTTTTCAGGGAGGGTTAGTGGGACAGGCTTAGGCGGTGGTGGCGTGAGGCGACAGGGAGCATGAGATTTGGGAAGTGAGAGTAGCAACAGCTGAATGGCAATAACAAGGGTTGAGGTTTTGTCATGAGAAGCAAAGCTGTACCTGGGTACCGTGGGTCCTAGCAGAGTGCGAAGGTGGCAGCAGGATGCGGGAGTCAGACCGTAACTGTTCCCAGAGTTTAGGCAGTCGGGAGCAGCCATTCCTGGAACACAGGCTGCTGGCGGCAAACGGGTCAGACATACCAAAACCATTTTGGAATTTATCTTGCTGTTTGATTTTTTTTTAAAAATTTTATGGAAAAAAGGTAAAACAATTTCATAATAATAGAATAACAATAGGTAATACATTGCATGTTGGTATCTTTAAAGTAGCTGTTTGGAGTACAAGACATGGGCATTAGAATTTCTCTAATCGATATTAACACAAACCTTGTTCAGTGAGCTAAGAGACACTCACAGTATAACTGAGTTGTATTTTTTTTTCCCTTCTATCCTTTCCTCTTTTCCCCCATCCTAGACCCTTTTTCTTTTTGAACAATTTCTTCCCATTGACAATATCTATTGTGTATATTTTAGACCTTATTTACTCTTTTCGTTTCTCACACCAGGGAGACAATACGATATATACACAAGTGAGACTGATTTATTCCACTTATGAGTATGGTTTCAAGTTGTATCCATTTACCTATAAATGGGTAAATTCTCAAATTGATCCTTCTGTATGGCTGAATAGTACTCCATTGTATAAAAAGACCACATCTCAGGTGATGTTGCCCACACTTTTGACCAAGCTTTGATTGTAGGTCTTAAAATATTTTACCAAAATGTTTCTTCCTGTTTTAGTCTGAACAGGCTTTCTGGAGCTGGCACAGACTTCCCCTGAATATCTTATTTTTTCCTGAGTGAGATTTGTTTTATTTCCTAGAGTTCATAAAAGCCTGTTTCTTGCTGAATAGTTTCATTTTGTTGGGATTCATTTTAGGATCCTTCCTAAGGGGAAAATGTGTAAGAGGAGAGCCTTTGCATATTGTAAACTTCTTTTCTTGCACTTGCATTTGATCAGCTCTTTACTTGATATAAAATTCTAGATTGAAAAATGACTGAAGGCTTTGAAAGGAGCTCTGTTATCTTCTATCATCTGATATTGCTAAAAAGAAACCTGAAAGCTCTACACCCCTACCTTCTGAACACTGCTTGGACTGTATTATTTGCAGTGTTGTAAACTTGTGAGAGTCCAAATCTATAGCTAGATCTCTTCAATCAATTCTGCTTGGCATTTAGTAGGTCTTTTCAATTTTTAGCATCTTTAGGTATAGGCAGTCTTGTATTTTACCCTTCTTTTTGTGGTGGTTAGTGTGGAGGGTCAACTTCATTGGCTTTTACCTGGGAGACTGGAGGAAGACATTCTAGATGTGTCTGGGTCGGGTATGGTCTTGGGGGGTCTGTGTCTAGTCCATTGCCTTCTTTATGACACTTCTCTGCTCTGCATCTGGCCACCGTGACTTAAGCAGCTTTGCTCTGCCATGCCCTGCTGTTTCTACCTTGTAGCCTATTGACCAAGGACTCAATCTTCTGAAGTTATGAGCTAAATTAAATCTTTACATTATGGGTGTTGGGTGTTGTATCCCTGCAGTGGGAAAGCTTGCTGAGTAGAGAAACTATCACAAGTTGAATTGTTGCTGTGACTGTACCTGACCATATGGTTTAGAAGCCTTTGGAATTGGTTTGCAAGAGGAATTTCGAAAGATTTGGAGATGTGGGCTAAACAAGCCTTAATGCTGCAAGTAGAGCCTAATGGGTGATTCTGTTCACAGTACTGACAATAAATGCAGGAATGCAAACCTTGAAGGCCAGGCTCAGGAGGACTCAGTTCAGAATAAGGACTTCATTGACGGTTGAAATACAGGCTTTATGCTCTGGCAGAAAATATCCCTAGACTTTGCCCATGTCCCAAGACTTTGCAGGAGACTGAGATTAAAGGCACTGGATTAACTGATTTGGTGGAGGAAATTTCAAAGCAGCCCAGTGCTTAGACTATGGTGTTGGTACTGCTGGCTACTTTTAGCCAAACTTACAATGAAAATGGGGCCAGGGGAAATAGACCAGAACAATTGGAAAAGCTTTTCCAACAGGAACTACATGTACAGTTGGAACCAAAGGAAGTATGGTTGCTGAAAAGATTAGTGCCATTAATAAAAATCTCAGTACTTTGTACAGGGACAAGAATATGCCTTTGGGGCATCTCAGAAATTAGCAAGCTCCACCCTTCAGAGGCTCAAGGGTACAAAAATACCAACCTTTCATTTAAGAAGAGAGTTTCTAGAACCCTTGATCAAGAAGGATGTTTTAGGAAATTAATTCTCCAGGATTCATTTCATTGTTCTATGTAATCCACTCAGAGGCCACTGCAGCCATGGTCTGAGAGGGCCTGGCTACTGCTCCTGCTAACACACCTTGGTGTTGTCTTTATGATGCTGGTTTTTCTGGCATGTAGAATGCAGGAGCTGTGGGTGTATGAGTCACTTTACTGTCCCTGGGACAAAATGCATGACATCTGCAATTTAAAGAGAAATCTGTGGCAAGATGTGAACTCCAAAGGGCTTGGGTGGCCCTACCCCCCTGGCACTGGCAGTGATTGTAGCTCTCATTGCTTTTCTCTAGGACCAGCTTTGCTCACTGCTTGTAGCTTTCCTCAGATGGTCCACTCTCCTGGCTTTTCCACCATGTTGGGGTCTCCACTGTACTTTTAGCTTCATCCTCACAAGCTTCATGCACTGCCTTGGGTGCACTGCCCGGCCTCCCAGGCCTTCTGAAATCTATGTGGAAGCCTCCTTGACCCCACAGCTCTTACATTCTGCATGTGAGTAAAACCTGCACTACATGGATGATGCCAAGGTCTGTTACCAGTTGGAGCAGTATCCAGGTTTCCTGCTATCTTGGCTATGCAGGTCTCTTGAGTGCCTGGATGGTTGAGTGCTATTACTTGAATCCTGAGGAACAAATTCCCTAGCAGGGTGCCATTCTGGAACATGGTACCCTGGGACTCTCAAAGCAAACTTTCAAAAGACCTGGGTCCTGCTGGTGATGCCCTCAGACCATTTTTTCTATTGTCCTATTCCAAAGTACTTGGCTTCCTTTTAATGCTAATGTTTTTAGTACTGCTGTCCTCTGTTCCATCTTTATAGGCCCTAACTTGACCAGGATTTCCTTTCTGGCCAAATTCAAAATTTTTAAAATCATTCTGCAGAGCTATTTGCTTTTGAGTGTCAAGGTAGAGCTGACTAAAACAGTAGCTAACTTTGAAATTTCTTCCACCAGATTAGTCCACTGCCCTTAATTTCAGTCTTCTGCAAACTCACTGGATATGAGCAAAATGCAGACAAATTTTCTGCCAGAGCATAACATACATGGCCTGGTGTCCAACTGCCCATGGTGTCCTTCCCAACTGAAACCTCTTGAGCCTGGCCTTTGGCTATATCATGGGCAATATTCTGGTCTTTTGAGCTCTAATCAGAAACTCATCAAGCTTGGTAGATTCCAATATAATAATAGTAAACCATTGCCAGGCATGGTGGTGAACACAGGACGCTAAGGCAGAAGAACTACCATGAATGAGAGGCCAGCCTGGATGATATAATGAGACCCTGTCTCAAAAAACAAACAAATAAATAAGCAAACAAAAACAAGACAAAAACTACTTAATTTCCACATACTTGTTTATTTTCTGAAGCTTTTCTTTTTACTCATTTCTAGTTTTTGCTTCATTATAGTCAGAAAAAATACTAAATTATTTCAGTGCTAGAAAATTTTGAGACTTTTTTGCAGCCTGTCTTGGAGAGTGTTCCTTCCACATGGTATCAAGAAGAATATGTTTGCCTCAGCAGTTGGATGGAATATTCTGTAAATGTCTCTTAGGTTCATTTGGTCTGGGATTCAATGTAACTTCTCTCTGCTGATTTTCTGTCTAGAAGATCTGAATATTCCTGAATATGGGATGTTAAAACTCTCAGCTATTGTTGTATTGGAGTCTACCACTCCCTTTTGGTTAATTAATATTTGCTTCCTATATTTGGGTGCTCCAATATTGGGTGCATGTATATTCAAAACTGCTATTTCCATTTGATGAATTGACCCCTTTATCATGTAATGACATTCTTTGTCATTTTTTTTCTGCTTTTGATTTAAAGTCTATTTTGTTTCATAAAAGTATGTCTACTGTTTTTATTTTGCAGTCCTT